ACACCTGATCAATGTTGTAGTTTGTTTTTTTCAATTACCACCATATCATAGTTTAGTTTTTATCATAGTTTTTTATATCTGTATTTATTTATTTCAAGTAATTGCTGCTGTAACAAGGGAATTTCCCCGTTGTGGGATTAATAAAGTAATACAATACAATACTTTGTAATAGTAGCAATTATTGTATTGTATTTAATCTTAACTTTCACGTAACAGAACAGAACATAATGTTTACAAGTGTAAGATCAAAACAGATGTTTTAGATAAAAAAGAATACATCTGTAAAATAATAAGAAATATAAGGAGGAATAAGCAGGCTAAATAAAAAAAGTTGAACAAAATATTTAAATAATTATAAGCATTTAAAAAAAAAACACATTATTTCTATATATAATTTTTCTGTATATATTTCTAAATGTTTGTCTTGTCCAATTATTTTTCCTCACTTTTATTTTAATCCATTTATTTTCCCTTATTTATTTTTATCCCTTTATTTTTCCTTATTTTATTTACTTTGATCCTTCTAGGTGTTTCCATGACTGGAAACCTAGCCTCTAAAATTTCCAGGTTTTCCAGACTCGTGGGAACTCTGACACCCTCCAATCAGCTCTTATTGTGGCCCCTCCCCTCTGCCTCCTCACAGCAGTGAGCTGGTTTGACTTTTACATTTAGATGACTCATCACAAATAGCACATCCTTTACCAGAGCTAACAAGTTTTGCCCCAATCCTGTGAGTACCATTATTTACTGTATGTGAAGAAGTTCCTGACAGATAGATTCAAACAATCATTCTCCTTTATTTTTTTCTGTTTTTAATTTAAAAAAATCAACAGAAAAACTCAACAAATAAATAGATACTGTAATCCATGTGGTAGTGTGATAGAAAGTGCGGTGTGTTTCTCCTGCTAAACTACACCCTTCTGGTCCTCGTGCGAGCGCTGGTGAAAGACAAAGGAGACAGCGGCGTCCCAGGAGGCTTTCAGCACTTGGTCCCTCAGGCCCTTCTTTTCGAAGCAGTGGTTCCACTGGGAAAGGTCACTGGTACAGTCGGAGTTGTCTGCAGGAGGCCTAACCTCCCTGCCATTCACACAGCGGCGACAGCGAAACCTACAACACCACAAGAGGGAGGAAGAGAGGCTGGGTCAATACATTACATACACTATTATGTTTAATACTACGAAAACCACTGTGGGCCAGGTGTATAAACCATGAGCTGGTGAAATGGTGAATGCCAGATATACCAGAGAGACAGAACAACACTACCATAAATGACAGCAAAACGTGGTAGAGAACCCTCTCTTTTCATTTGTTTCTGTCTGACATATCAAGATTCTCCTTCATTTTCTTGGGTACGTAGGTGATGAGTCCTCCATCTAATATATAATTGGTTGCCTGAAAATTAGTGGCTGTGATGAAACCAGCGCCTTTCTGCAAAGAGTGCATCACTTTTTCTGTAGGCACTCTCTGGGAACAACAGGAAAAAGACGCTGGCGTAGAGAAAAAAACTCAATATTAATAATTAATTAATAATAACTATTTGCACAAACTATTATGTACAGTTTTTTTTTCTGCTCAAAATATTTTGCACACCACTTTACTGCATATTGCATAAAGTGTATATATTTTTCATTATAATCTTATATGATCTATTATATCTTATAATATTCTTATTTTGTGATTCTTTATTGTACTTTTAGCACTACATTCCCCTATGCTGCTGTGTCTGACTTTAATTTCTTCTATGGGGGATAAATAAAGGAACATCTTATCTTATCTTGTCTTGTCTTGTCTTTTTATCCTTTAACCATCTTAAAAAAGTGTGTTTGTCTTTTCAAGACTTTTCTAAGTACAGGAAAGAAGGAAGTTGGCAGAGGTTCTGAATGAGGCTTGCTCAACTGTTATTGGAGCACAGAGCAAAAAGGAGCGGGACTTAGGAAGGGCCAATTCTCAGTAGAATAAACAGCATGTGAGACAACTTGGCTTTTTACTTGTCATGTGTGTCGCTGGTGGTCTCCGCATTAAGAGTGAAGAGTTCTCGGAGTTCGCCCAGAGAGAAGTGACGCTCCACGTCCTGCTCTTCATCCACCACACAGCTGCTCAGGGCCTTCTTGTGGGCCTGCCTCTGTAGGATCTTCTCCTCGATCGTTCCTGTCTGTCAGCACACAAACACTAGTCAAACTATCTGCAGCCCTCTGCTCTGACAGATCTATTGTGAAGTCCTGAACTTTGTTTAATAGCTATCAGTAGAAAAAAAGTAATTTCTCTATATGAAAACTACTGCGCATTACTTAGTAATTAAAATAGACATTAAGAAGTGGTGCTGATCTGTTTGATGTTATGTCCCTGTTAAACGGACCGAGAGCAGCCTGTAGATGTAGCAGGTCTTCTTCTGGCCATCTCTCCACACCCGTGCCATTGCCTGTTCGTCATTGGCTGGGTTCCAGTCAGGATCGAACATAACCAAGCGATTAGCACCAATCAGGTTCAGGCCACATCCACCAGCCTTGCTGCTCAGCATGAAGATGAACTCTGGGTTCTGAGAAACAGATGGATTCAGATTCCGATCAAGTGCTTTTCAAAGCTCACAGTGTTAAAACCGTTTCCAACTCACAGATGGACTGTTGAATCTCTCCACAATCTTGGCCCTTTTTTTGATGGACATTGTGCCGTCCAGTCGAACATAGAGGTATCTGTAAAAGATAAAGAGGAGGGTTGGTGCTCAGTTTGACAGACAAATCATGTAATACAGACGCAATTAAATGCTGGTTTCCCAACAAGCACCTTCTTGATCTGCACAGCTTTTCAAAGAGGTCAAGTGTTTGAGTGTAGTTGGAGACGAGCACCACCTTGTCACTGGTTGTAGCCCTCGTCATTGCCAGGATGTAGTCCAGAACCAGCATTTTCCCTGGAACAGAGGAAGTAACTTCTTACTCATAAAAAGGAAGATAAAACATTTTTGCAGAAACAAACTTATGGCAAACTACAAAATGGTAAATGGACCTGTACTTGTATAGCGCCTTTCTAGTCTTCTGACCACTTAAAGCGCTTTTACACTACAAAAAAAAAAAAAAATGTTGCTCATTTACACATCCAGTAGAGACAGGCACTGTGTATAACATTTAGAGGCTCTATTGGCAGAAATGGAATATTTGTATGGAATTTTAACCCCACCGGAGCTGTAGTAAGCTATATTGTACATCTATTCTTACCAGAGAGCTGAGGCTCCACAGCTTTAGTGCAGTAGCCAGGTGGAAACAGATCCAACGCACCCTCAAAGCCCTCCTCACCCTCCACACACTTCTCATAGATGAGAGCTGGGTCTGAGACACAGAGCAGTGGTTAGTGGTTCTACAAAGCAGCAGAAGATTCTAAATAAACATATACATACAATATGGACTATGAATTAAAAGACAACTAGTTAGACATTGTCAGCTTGTCTAACAGAAAGAATACAGTCTTTCTGCTGATCACTATCATGCAGATTCAATTCAATTCAATTACAGAGACCCAACAGTACCACCATGAGCAAGCACTTGGTGACGGGGGCAAGGAAAAACTGCCTTTTAACAGGCAGAAACCTCGGACAGACCCTTCGGCTCTAGGTGGGTGGTCATCTGCCTTGAC